CAGCTGGGGAGGATCTTAATCAAGGCATCATGTTGAAGGATATGAGAGGAACTGGAAATGAGGGGATGGGACCTAGGGTGACCACAGGGAGAGGGGCAGAGTCATCTCTGAGAAGCAGCTGCCCTGTGGTGACACTAATACACACACACCATCTCCCCCTTCCCCCCCAACGCTGTGGCCTGTGTTGGGAAGCCTTTTAGCAGACCATTGCCCGGTGAGGGCCTGAAGGTCTGTTATGGATCATCTCTCAGAAGCAATCCTCTCTGCCCTAAGACCTTCCTTAGCCCATCCTAACTCCCCTGCGTGGCCAGCTTTCCCTAGAAACTCCAGGACACTCATAAGCCTCCCAAACCTTGTATGGAAGAGGTGAGTAGGGGAGCAGCGCCCTGACAACCTTGCACGTCTCCATATAGACCACGAGGACAAGGACTGACTGTAGTCCGACCTGAGCATTGGCAAAGTGCCCTGCGACTCCACCTGGAACAAGGAGGGGTAAGCAGCCTGGTGAAGAGATGCCACAGACAGTTTCCCATGCGCCTCCCTATCTTACGAGGGGTGGTCACAAGCCCATTTCTCATTCATCTTCAGTTTCAGTTGAGCACAGGACTTTCAACCTCACCCCCCTTTGGGTTCAGCTGCAGATTTCTGTGTAAGTCTATCTGCTTGGCTATAGGTGAGAGCTGGATCCTCAACAACAGAATGACCTACCACCTGTGCCATCTGTCATTTGGCCCTTCAGGTTCAGTGTTATCCTGTGGGACTGGGGATACAGGGAGCTGACACCATGCTGATCCTGCTTTTGCTGTCTGTGTAAGTAATAAACCGCTTGACTCTGTTTGTTGCCTCTCTACTGGCTGAATCAATGGAATTGTGGGGCGCCAAGCTCACAGCCACAATGGAGGTCCTAGTGGCTCTGTCACAAATCACCCCACTGCTTAGGGAATGCTCAACTGCTTGACAAATGACAAGGTGTTGTTCTATTTTGACAAGGGCATTAAAAAGTATTTTCCTTGTGTGCTAGCAGTCTCTGTTCTCAAAGAGATCCTCCTTTGATCACCTGAGCAGGTGTGAAACCTGTAAAATTACATCTTCTTAACTCTAAAGAACAAAACAGTAAAACACCATCAGGGTTGTTACATATGCTCTTATCTAAAATTTCCTCTTCTGATTCCCAGTTAAATCCACTTATTTTAACAGAGTGACCTTTCTGTATGAAGAAAGAAACTCTGAGAGGTATATAGGATGTGGACTCCAGAGCAGTCTCCTTTCCTCCCTTTACCAGCTGTGTTATCTCAGGAAGTGGCAAATCATCTCTACAACTCAGTTTCCTTACCTATAAAATGGAGTTAACTTCCAGCAATTGTGGGAATTAAGTGATGTGATGTATGTGAGATGCTTAGAATGGAACTGGCACACAGTAAGTGTATAATTAGCTTTAGCTATTATACTAACGAAAATAGTGGTTCTCAAACTTTAAGGTGCGTTGGAATCACCAGTCCACCCCGAGCTTCGGTGGCACTCCAGAATTTGCATTTCTAACAAGTTCTCAGATGATGCGGATGCTGCTGATCTGGTGCCTACACTTCGAGAACTACTGAGTTAGGATTAATTTCTGTGTAAATAATAGAGACCCACAATCACAGTGGCTTAAAGAAAATAGAAGTTTATTTCTAGAGGTTGGGCATCCAGGGCTGGTGTGGTGCTCCTCGGAGCCAGACTTTTTCTATGTCATCATGTTGTCACCTGTAGATTGATGCTTCATGCACACTGTCATAGAAGGCTCACCACCATGGTTGAATTCAAGCCAGTATGAGGGAGAAATTGGAGAAAGGGAAACTGAATAATACTTCTCTTTACAGAGACCACCAGGAAATTGGACACGTCAAATGTTCATCTGGCCAGAACTTAAATCAGATGGCCACGTGTAGCTCCAAGGGAGGTGAAGAAATTAGAATTTATTCTGTAGCCACAGGCCTAGCTTAGAAAACCAAGTTCTATTACTCTGAGAGCGAAGGGAGAACGGATATTAATGGGCATCTAGGAGCTCTGCCACAGCTACAGACTGGTTTCTACATGTGAACTACGGCAAAAGAATTTTCTATGGGCAGGAGAGTATAAATATCCAACTTCATTTCTTCCCCCCAAATATGAGCATAGCTTATTTCACTCTTTATCTTTCTTTATTCAAAGGAGTCATTTGCTTCATTCTCAGGGGAAGGATTATCTTTCTCTGGGAACAATAAAAATGTTCCTCTTTCTTTTCTAATAATTTGAGTTTTCATCAAGTTTCTTCCAGATGGACCGTCAACAGCTACCATCAGAGAATACAGAAAATAGATCTTTTGGGGGGGAAGGTCAAAGGGAATTTGGAGCAAGAGGCCAGGGAGCCTAGCTAGCTAGGATGGCAGAAAGAGGCTGGCACTGTAACATGTGGTTCCAAGTAGGAAAATTATTTCAAGAGGGGGCTTCCAGACTGAAGATATTCCATGGTATGGCTGAGAAAACTGCTGTAAGGGGCATCGTTGGCATGCCCAGGAGCTGTGTTAAATTACAGCTCTCACCCCCCCACCTCTCAGTCTTGATCCAAGAACTCCACGCTGCTTCCATCTCGGCCCTGGGTATTAGTTGTCTACAGGCCTCACCATCTGACTGCCCAGTTGCGCTGGTGTCCGTGTTGTGCGAGGCTGTGTATCTTTCCTCTGCTGCCATTGCCTACTCCAAGTGAATGCCTTGCCACAGTGCTCCTAAAAAGCCCCACTAGTCTAAAGGAGACGCCTCAATGCTTGGAGCAATGGTGGGTAACAGTTTCCATTCTGCCCTCAGGGATCAAAGTGAGCCAGCTCAAAGCCCTGAGGCAGGATCGTGGGGAGTGGCACCCACATTACATAAATCAAAAGCAAAGGAAGAAACCATAAAGGAAAAGATTAACCAATTTTGCTATAGAAAAATGAATAAAAATTAATAAATGAACTTCACTGGTTTTAAAGATCCTTTCCAAATCTAAGATTTGATGATTCTTTGATATATTGAGATCGTTTGTGACAATAAGTCACAAATAAATAGTAAACATACTTATATTGCCTAATAAACAGTAATGGTTTACTGTTCCCAAAGCCTCAATCTCATCAGAAACTTTTGTTTATAAAGATGCATGAGGACAAAAAAAAGTTCTGAGTTCCTAAAAGACAATTTTTATGGCCAGATTATTCTATTACAATGATATGCACCTAAGTGTTCAGATGGGCAAAGGAAGGGTCGTGGAGAGGAGAGACGTGATGATTCTGAGTACCTGAAAACCCCGTCAGACCCTGAGCGCAGCCTACTGAGTGCACGCCATCTGCAAGAGATGCGGCAATAAAGCCCGGGGAGGGAACTCAGTTTACTCTCAATAACGCCGTTATTCAGGCCCATCTAACTCCAGAGCCCAAGCACTTTGCACAAGACCAAGTTGCCTGTATAAAAAGATATACCAAAGATACAAGAAGATCCTTTCTTTGAAAATATTCTTAGTTCTCAAGTCATAAAATACAGCTGGTTCTAAGAATATTGTGATATAAGACAAGGCTCATTTTCAGCAATGTTCTCATCATTAGCGATTTCCTGTCCATTCATCGGTCCAGTGTGTATACAGATGAATATATGTGAATGACTATAGCATCATGGTGAAGAGCACAGACTCTAAGGCCAGGCTGTCTTTGTTTTAACTCCAGCTTTGCCGCTTGTGACCTTGTGCAAAATGCATAACCTCTTTGTGCCTTAGTCCCTCCCTCGATAAAATAGAGGATAACAGTAATACCTCCCTGAGAGAGTTTTGTGAGGATTAAATAGTTAGTAATAAAGGACATTATTGCAATAATTGAGAAAATGTGAATATGGACTTTATATTAGAAAATATTGTCATATCTATGTTAAATTTCTTGAGAATGAGAATGATAACAGTATTGTGGCTATGTAGGAGAATTCCTTTTTCTTATACTAAATGCTGAAGTAGTTAGGGCTGAAGAGTCATGATGCCATGGTGTCTGCAATCACTCTTCAATGGTTTGGCAAAGAAGTATGTATATTTACTAAGAGAGGCACACAGAAATAGACAGAAAGAGATGACATAAACATGGCAAATGTTAGCCATTGGTGAATCCAGATGAAAGGTATAATAAGGGTGCTCATGTTCTAGTCTTCCAACTTTTCTGAAGGCTTGGTATTTTTCAAAATAAAAAGTTAGGAGACAATGAGTTGGTGCATGTAAAGCCTTACAACTGTTAGCTCTCAGGCTAAGATCACTCTGAGGACAGAGTTCTTCATCTTCATTAGCCCAAGGTCTGACATTGTCCATCTCCATAGTAGATGCTCGGTACATCTTATAAATAAATAAATAAAAAAAGTTTGAATTTTTGTCTTCTTACTCCTTCTCAGTATCTACTTTCCTTCACTACTCCCGTTTGAAATTTACTTTCAGCTTTATATTAAAGTGTAAATTGCAGTTAAGGCTTTGCATAGCAGCCCTCTTTGGTGTGTGTGAGTGTGCACATGTGTGTGCATGGTGTGTGTGTAAGAGTTTTATACCCTATCCCACTCCCTACCTCACCTAAAACCAAACCAAATGGGGTAGAAATTTGAATTTCAAATAATGAATCATTTATTTAGTATAAATATGTCCCAAATATTTCACAGAAGCCAAATATTGCATGAAGCATACTTGTACAAAACAATTATTCATTGTTTACCTGAAATTCAAATTTAACTAGGCATCTTCTATTTTTATTTGTTAAATCTGGCAACTCTAAAAAAACCTTTTATTCTCCTGACGTATATGGCTTACCCTGCCCACAAGCATATCAAAATCTTAGTTATATTGGTTTACTCATGAGAAAATGCTTATAGTTCTTCTGAATTTTAAACCATAGTAGAAATAAGCTTTTATCCCTTAGCTGAATCATCCCCCACTGGTCTCGCCTTTTTTCCATTTTGAATCTCTCATTTTTCTTTGTAATTATAAAAGATTTGAAGGATTGCAATTTTATTTGTGATAAAACCCATAGATAGAATATACATACAGGTCACATAAAAATACATAAGGATGACAAATCTAATATACAGTGTTGGATAGGCAGTGTGATTAAAGAACTACACACTTATTGTATACAGTGTCATTAATGTCAATGACTCTCTTCTTAGAAGCACTTCTTGCACAAAGAGTATGTTTTAGCAGTTAGTAATAGTACAAACATGTTAAAAATACTATTTATAGAACTACGACCTCAAAACATTCAGTCGAATTCAATTTCATGGACTGGTTTACCACTCACTTGATAAATGGCCCTGATTTACAGTGACCTTTCAATAACACACCAGGGAGAAGCAACGAGAAGCCCGTTACTTGCAGAAGCAATTACAGAAAATCACTTTGGAACAGTAGCACCATTCCACATTATAATATGCACATTTGTTATATTGCACCTTCCTGAGTTGAACTTTGAAAACAATAGCCACATGAAACACTAGAATGGATGAATTCATCCCAGGCTGGGCCTTCATTGGTGGTAGTAATCTTGACCATCATAGCCGTCATAGCTACGCCCCTTATAGTAGCTGTACTCATCCTCATAGGCTCGGTAATTGTCCCCACGAGGTTCCCCATTCTCATTTTCATAGACTTCGTATCCATTGTCATACTCATTGGTGCCTGTTTGTTCATACTCCCCCTCATACGCAGTGGTGGTGGTCCTGTAGACCTCCTGTGGTGGAGTTGTAGGTGCAAACCCTCCATTTGGAGAGGTGGTTGTCTTAGAGCCAGCATTGTCCTGCTCTGCAGGCACTGCGGTTCCTTCTGCATTGGCTTCTTCTTCACCTTCCTCTTCTCCGTTGTCTCCACCACTGCTGCCATGGCCATTTTCTGCCTCCGTGCTGTTGGAGCTGGTGCCGTTGATGCCTTGCCCATTTTCATCCACTTCTGCTTCATTTTCTTCATTTTCATCTTCTTCCTCTTCCTCTTCTTCATCACTTTCCTCTTCTTTTGTACCTTTGTTTCCTTTGTCCCCAGCCTGTATGGAAAAGTTTGAAAGAATCCAAATTTAGGCATGAAAAATGTAAAACTTAAGGTCATTGTTTCATCCAACACAGGCTGTACTGACAGCTTTGTCTAGACGTGATTTTGAATTGAAGCCTATTTAACTTACTAAAGAAATGGTTGGGGTTTTAAAAATTCAGAATTAGTACCTTTGTCAGTGGGTTTTGATGGGGGAAAATGTACCCAATAAATAAGCCTTCTCTGTGGGAGATGCTTCCTATAGCTTTGCCACTCACTCTCTCTGTCTTGGTCCTCTTCCCTGAAATGCAATGGCCCCTCTGAAGATCTTTTATCCACTGCTAAGATGCTCGTCCTTAGTATTTTGTTGTAATGCAGAAAGTCAGTGTAATAACATGGGAAGAGAATTTGCCTGGGAAAATATCTTTCCTTGTTTGTAAACAGGGAAATTATATCTGCTCTCACTTTCTCAATGAGTAAATGAAGATAATATAAAATACTTTGTCTATGGTGTCGGGATAACCTTAGACATCAGTAAAGAAATGAAATCAGACTAATCATTTTGGAGGAATTATTACCTTCTTTGGAAGCTGGATCGCAGCTAGACCTATATTTCCCATTCCAGGAGTGGGCTCCTCTCCATAGCCAGGTGTGATCGTAGACAGGGTGGTGTTCTCAGCGTCCGATTCTTCATCTTCGTTTCCTTCAGAATCTTCATTCTCTCCATTGTTTCCTTCTTCATTTGAAGTCTCCTGGTAAAAATAGCCAGAACCAGAGAAGTTATTTTAGATGGAAGATAACTCAAGATTTATTGGAGTCATGAACCATTATTGGGAAGACATTTGTATCCCTCAGCCAGCTCATCACCCAGTGTTGGCAATTATGCTTCCTTGTATGCCCTTCTCACTTCTAAAAACTCAACTCAAAGTCATCTCATCCTATTCACTTTGCTATCTTGTGTTTTAGATATTTCCACATTCTATCTAATCAATTCAAAAATATTTGTGTAATAATTTCCACATATGTGATTGTGTGGTATCACACCATAACATGGCTCAGGCTCTTAAAGTCTTATTAATAACTACTACAACATGGCAGTAAGTTAATTCTTATATTTGCTAACAAGTAAGCTGAGGACTTTATACCTATTTTTTAAATTTCTTATAGCAGCTCTGTAAGTGGGATTATTGTTCTCACTCTTCAGAAAAGGAAAGTGAGCTCAGAAAAGCTAAATAACTTGCTTAAGATCTTATAGTAAGTGATGAAGCTGTATCTTTCTAACTAGAAAAGCTCAGCCCTTTCTAACATACCATGATTTTTTTTTGGTTTTTTTTTTTTTTTGGTGAGGAAGATTGGCCCTGAGCTAACATCTGTGCCAGTCTTCATCTATTTTATATGGGACGCCACCACAGCATGATTTGATAAGCAATGTGTAGGTCCGCACCCGGATCCGAACCCATGAACCCCAGGCCACTGAAGCAGAGCACACGAACTTAACCACTAGGCTACCAGGCTGAGGCCCCCCCATGAAGTTTTTGATGATGATTAAGAGTCATAGGAATCATCCACACTACACCTAGGATTTTTTTGCAGAAAGGCATTTTTTATAGAAAACTTTCTCTTCAAATTGATTGCAAGTTTTATTTAGTACCAAATGTAAGTGAATATATTTCATGTGCTTTCAAATTTAAAGAAAAAAGACATAATAGTTCAAAATCCATCTGCCAATATGTAAGTCAGTTCTCTGCCATTCAAAAGATTTCAGGTATTTGACACACAATCCATTTTTCTGTGCAATGAAGAAACTTAACACTCCAAGAAATCCTTAGGGGTATATTATGTTACTGTTTAAAAAATTAACACTTCTGAAATGATGCTAATTATAATCTTTAACATTTTATTCTTTTGCCTTTACTCCATGTTGTTAGGCAATTGTTTGTTAATTGAGTTAATATCCCAATTTAAATAATAGCTAATATTAAAAGCCAGGATTTCAAACATATAGAACTTATTTACTTTAAATGAATACTGGAAAATTGAATTCATTTCAATATAATTTTAAAAAGATGTGACGTTAGCATAATTTTAACTAGGCATCCTATATTTTAAGACTTCAAAACAAACAAAACCCAGATTTAGCTTGCCTTATCACTAAAGCAAAGTGACTACAGAAGAATATGTTTGTTTCATCAAATTTGTAAATTCACTATTTCAGTGAACTCTTGGGACTAGCAGAGTCTGTCCAAAATGGTCTCCAAGCTAATTGTGTCAAATATCCCACAAATACCATACTGTTTATTTATTTTTTTCATGTTTATGCTTTAGTCCAGCAGCCTAAATCTTTCAGAGGTAGAAAGAGCAAAGACCCTTGGAGTAGGAGAACACACAAGTTAGGTCCTGTACCCTCACGTCACAGGTGAGAAATCTGAGGTCTAATGGGATAAATGGCTCATATGAGGTCAAATAGAGGACAGTTCATTAGTGGCTGGGTCATGACTAAAGGCCCAGACTCCCAACTCATAGACTTCTTTTTTTTTTAAGATTTTATTTTTTCCCTTTTTCTCCCCAAAGCCCCCCGGTACATAGTTGTATATTCTTTGTTGTGGGTCCTTCTAGTTGTGGCATGTGGGACGCTGCCTCAGCGTGGTCTGATGAGCGGTGCCATGTCCGCACCCAGGATTCGAACCAACGAAACACTGGGCCGCCTGCAGCGGAGCGCGCGAACTTAACCACTCGGCCACGGGGCCAGCCCCCAACTCATAGACTTCTACATTGTCTCTTGAAACACCCTTTCTGTTCCTAGATACTTTATTTAAGGATATCTTGCTGGAATGAGTTAACAATGAAAATAGGTCAGTCTGTTGATGACTATTAGACCTCAAATATCTTATTGAATAGAAAAATTAGCAATAATTTGTGCTTAAAAATGTATTATTAGGGGCTGGCCCCGTGGCCGAGTGGTTAAGTTCGTGCACTCCGCTGCAGGCGGCCCAGTGTTTCGTTGGTTCGAATCCTGGGCGCGGACATGGCACCGCTCATCAAACCACGCTGAGGCAGCGTCCCGCATGCCACAACTAGAAGGACCCACAACGAAGAATATACAACTATGTACCGGGGGCCTTTGGGGGGAAAAAGGAAAAAAATAAAATCTTTAAAAAAAAAATGTGTTATTAACCTACTAGAATCTAGGCTAAAATGACTAAAAGAAACAAGTATTAGAGAGAATGTGGCACTCTCCTGTACCTATAGTGGGAGTTTGCACCAGGACATCTGCTTTGGGGAGTTGTTTGGTTGCATCTACTCAGCTTGAACATATTCACACCTTTCACTTAGAAATTTCTCTTCTAGGTAAAATGGCCTCCAAAAAAGAATGCATGTGTTCACGAGAAGGAGTACTGCTGGAATGTTCGTAGCAGCACAATTTGTAATAGCCCAAACTCGGAAACTACCCAAATGAGAATGAACAATTTACAACTACAGAACAATATGGATCAATCTCTGAAGTTGGGGGTGGAAGAGGCCACATACAAAAGAGTATATTCTCTATGATTTAATGTATATAATACATAAAAAGATGCAAAAGCAATCTATCTTTTAGGAGTCAAAATAGCAGTTGCCCTTGGTGGAGCTTAATGAATGAGTGGAATGGAGCACAAAGCATGTGCTGCTTTTCCACATGGGTGCTGGTTACACTTGTGTGTTCGGTTTTTGAAATTTCAATGATCTATATACTTATGATAATTGTGTTATGTATATCATATTCCAATAAAAGTTTTTTAAAAGTGAAGCTAAATAGTTCAGGAGCGAGAAAAAAATGTATAATTACCAAATAAAAAATACGTCTAAGCACCTTCTCATGTGAATACAGTTCCTGGGGACTCTGCAATGAACCTGAATTGCCAGTGAAATTTTAGGGAAGAAATGAGGAAAAAAAAGAGGTTCTAAAATCTCTTCAGTATGGAAGACTCCCAGTTTTATTTATCTACTTTTCCATGATCACTTTTAATGGATGATTTTTGGAGCATTTATTCTTCTGAAGTTTCATAACCAAACCGCCAAATATTGACTGGGCACCATGTATGTGTAAGACTCTGTGCTAGGCAGTGTGAGGACATGCAAAAGAGGGTGCAGCACACTTCCTCCCCAAAGCAGGGATGGCAACTGCACTGTCTAGTCCCCTGGGTCATGGGGAGTTGGCAGATAAGTTTTGGGAGGACCATATATGTTCAGAGATTGTTGGCAAAATGGTGGGTGTGTGATTTCACTAGAGTCCTATAGGAATCCTAATCTTTCTCCATCCCCAACCAGCATCACAACAAATGAAGACTCATTGCAAAAGTTACCCATTCTAATTGGGAAATCTAGCTGGCAAGGCAATTTTACAATCACTGTACAGCAAATAGCTGTAATGAAATGGATTATCCTAGCTTACTTGTTATGTAAAATTATTATGTGAAACTCCAGGCAAAATTTTGTGAGATTTGGTAGGTGGCATTTTTCCTGGTACTGGCTTAACGTTCCTGTAAGGCCTTCCTTTAAGCTATTAGGGTAAATTATGGTACTGGAAATGTTACTTTTATGGTTAAAAAAATCAAACTAATGATTTGTCGCTTTTAAAGTTCCCACACCATTTTGTTTTCAAGATAGCAGATGTTTACCCATGATCCATTTTTGACTGTCATTGCCCCATTCGTAAATAGCACCTAAGAATACCTGAATTTAGAAAGTTCCCAAACCAGTGGATAGCTATAATTGACTATCCAGGAAAATGTACCTAATTAGTACGTTTTCTTGGGCAAGAGTGTCAGTTACAAACATGTTAGCACAATTTCCAAGAGGTATAAATGAATTTTAGCCGTGAATGACACTAATTTGTAGTACTACATAGGATGATATTTATACACCTTGAGTATTTACATTTCTTTAAGAACACGAATTTTACTATTAGACAAAAAGACATATGAAATTCCTATTTTAAAAAAAAACCCTACTTTGTGGGTCAATAAGGGCAGATGATAAGGATACAAGATTAGCTTTCACATACTACCTATTTAGTAAACTGAGTTTTTTAAGTTCAGTCCTTAAAACAAGTATTGCACTGAGTTTAGGATTGTTACGTATTTGTCTTTTACCATCGTGTTCTATCCACCTAAATATAAATAATACTTCTTTTTCTTTTTATCAGAATTCACATGTCTTCTACTTAAAATGGAGACACTTTTGTTTTTGTGTACCACTTACAGGTAACTTTAACCCCAAACTGCAACAGTGTTTTAAACAAGTCATTTTAGTTGATTCTAATTTAAATAACATTTCACTCGTCCAAAATAGAAGACTGTGGGCAGTTGGTAAACTGGCAATAGCTATGTGCTGAGTCCAGACTACAGAAGACTGGTTTCCTATTTGTTTTTTGTGCTGCCTGGTTTGTCATGAAAAAGCCTGCAGAAATTTCCTTACCTCTTCTTCCTCCTCCTCTTCTGAGCTATCACCATCTCCATTTTCTTCAGAGGAATCACTACTGGTCTGAAAAAAAAATATGAATTCATACACATATGAATATATATATATGTACACCTATATGTATATAATTTAAACATGCATATAGGTGTACATATATACATGTCCATATACATATATACAAACATATATACATGTTTGTGTATACGCACATATATATACACGTATACATACATATATATGTACACATATATTCAACACCAAAGAAAATTTCCTTCTGACTGAAATAAGATAAAATACACACAAATATTTACTCAAACTAATTAGTATTACCATCTTGATTGATTTATGTACTTAGAAAAATTCTCATGCAAATGTGAGAAAGATATGAGGAGATTGGGCATACGTAAAAGGAGATTAGAGAGAAACAGGAATTTTACGATAATCCAGATATGAAGTGACATACTCCATTTTCAACCCTCAAAGCATAGATGACATGTTGAAACATTTTGTATGTAAAAATCAGAGCAATGAATCACAGAATTGCTTAACTCTGAGAGCACGAGAAGATTCTCTGGTCCAATTTATTTTACAGAGAAGGAACCTGAAGCCCAGAACAGTTGTGACTTTAAGCAATTCAAGGCAAATCTTGGGCTAAGACATAGATCACGCTGTTTTATTTTCTTTATAAAATATAAATGAAACGATGATTAGGCTTACTATAAAATGTAAGTTGTTACTGGATGATTCTCTTAAATAATCAGCTCTCCTGGTGAATTTAAATTAGAATTTGACTTGAAATTAAATTTGTGTATAATTTTTAGTATCTTTCAATCTAGATAAAGCTAATCCCTAAGATAAGGAGATATATATATATATATATATGTATATATATATATATATATATAAGGTCTTATGTATATATATAAATAAGGTTTTATATATATATATAAAGCAAAAATTAGATAGGATAAAACTTAATTCATTTACTCATTTAGGAGATTTACAGAGTACCATCGCTCTAAAGTTCTCAATATTGGATGAGAATGAATTAAACCAAGGAATCTGTATATAAAAATATAATTATAGGTTAATGAGCCTTGCTGCTTTTTTAAAGGAAATGTCACTCTGAACATCTGTTATCAGAGCCTCGAAGACAGTAGAGGAGATTCCTCATCTTTCTCCCAATGGTAACCCAAATTGAATTTTCCTTCTTTTTCTGCAACCACTCATAATGGCACCAGGTATACAAATGGATACCCAACTTAAGATTCTGTCATTTTCTGCTCTGCAAATTTTGGTTTTGATTCTGATGACCCAGTTAAGTACCTGGGGTCTTAGAAAATATAGCTGCAGGGGAACCTCGGGATTAGAGATCAGATACGAGGAAACATCATGCCCCAGTCCTGCTCAGGGCTGTCCCTGTTGGGCTCATTCTTCAGGTGGCCACACCATGCACTGAAGAAAAGGGAATGCTTGTCCCCTTGAGCCAAGAATAACCTTGGGTGGAAAAGAGAATAATTAGACCTGCTTTTCCACTGCCATGACCTTCATGGTTGAGTCGTCCCTATTCAGCTCAGAGGGTGAATAAACCATCATATTATATTTGAACTATTTCTATTTGTTAGTTAAATTATATATAGAGGAAAGCATATTTATGCAGCATATTTTGTCTCAGTGGGAGTGTTTTAGTCATTTTACAAGCCTCCTCACCTCTAGCCTTCTTCCTGCCCCAACCACATTACTCTTCAATTAGTATCTGCAGTGAGAACAACTTTAAAACTGCATGAAATGCCTTGAAGCCTTGGCATTTTCTTATTTTCTTTTCTGTCATTTATGCCTTATTACTAATTTCTCACTAAGTCTTATTGATTCTTCCGGGAGCCTTTCATATAGATATAGATATTTTTACCATTATTCCTTCCAACTTCTATCACTCCATTTATTCAATCCCAAAATATACATTCCAGGTATTGTACTGGGAGTGAGGGTTGTAGTAAGAAATGAAACTGGAAATATTGGCAGTTTCCCCATGTCAAGCATTGTGATAGCTGAGATGAGTCTAATAAAAGGAATATAAAATAAAGTTCCTGCCTTCTAAGAGTTCACACACTAATCAAGTATCATTTGAATCATAAAAAAGCAATTTCCTCAATTAGAAATGCTGAAGGTGTTAAGCTGATTTATACTTCGATTTCTATAGCCAAGTACATAAATAAGCTGTGGTAGACTATTGATGGTTTTGCAATCAATTTAACACATTTAGTGCAAGTTGGTATTTTAGAAATGATTATACATAAACACAGACTTGTTTGAACACACTATGAATTTCAAAGCCAATATGCCTTTTTGGGTGGCAATGTGGGCACTAAACACTTAATAGACTTAAGAGAATAAATAATAATTAAGAGCCATGGAAAATGTATTAGTAGACATGAAAGGGGGGAATCTTGGAAATCAAACTTTGTAGAGTAAGAGGAGAGATCATAAATACTAGGTCAGACTGCTGGATCAGGAGATATATTTTGCTGGATTCTATTTTAAAACAACTCTCTTGCAAATTCTATATTGGTTGAGATGGACCTATCTGCATATAATTTGAGGAAATTTTATGTATTAAAGATATATGAACTTTGAGTCTATGAGTGATGAAAAATATAATCTCTCCTAATATCTTTTCACTATGGACATTTAAAACGGACCACACATATGTATCTACAAAAATTTCTAGATAGGAATATCTGTAAGTACCTTGTATTTTAGAAAAGTCGAGGAGCTACTCAAGACTTAAAGTGATTATCATTTCCATTTAGTTTAAGAAAGAAAACAAAGTGAAGTTTCAAATGAGCACTGTTTATCTATGGGCCTGAGGTGAACCAAAGAATGGAAGACAATTCTGAAAACCCACAACTCTTGTATCATTTGTGCTCATATTTCTGTGGCTGCACACATTTCCCATAATGATTATGGTGCTAGAAATACTTTAAGATTACCATTTCCTATCACTGTATGAGTTGGAAATGGGTTAGCCCAACATATGGTAGGATGGTATGCCAAGCCACTGTGCTGAGGCATCGTTTTCAGCATCCTGACTGTTTTTAGTGTCTCAGGAGTCCTGGGTCAAATGGTGCATAATTGGTGCTCTGAACCCAAACTGTGTAGTAATAAAAATAGCACAGATCTAGTCTGTTGTATATTTAAAATCAACACCACACCCTCCAGTTTTCAAAGGCCCTCTTCACAGGTAATCCAGTAAAAAGAGAAACTCTTATTTTTAGTGTTTAGTTATTTTCCTTTTTGTTTACAAATTTTAAGGACGTTTTGCTTTTCTCACAAGCTTTTTAGTTCACCTCATGAATTTCTCTCTTTCCTCTGCGGTTCTTGAGCCACACTTCCATTACAACTATGCTCTAACATATTGCTGTAGTGACCCACACAGGTCAAAAGTTCAGAAAACCTTCAGCAATTACCATTGATTATCAAGAATATTTTTTCTAGTGGTCTTTGCTGTGTATAAAGTCAATTTCCTTTCCTACCAATTAAAGGATTCAAAATTATTGGATGTAAAACAGCTGTATGACAGCATTGAGTCAACCATAACATGACTATTAGTGGCCTTAGCACTGACTCAATTGTCAACAACTGATAAAATTGTCTACTTTTGTCAGAGTTAGTGAAAATACCTGAACTCAATGTGCCAAGGTGTTTGCTTTTATTATATCATTCTTGACCGGGCTCAAATGAGTTTACTGTGTGTGTGTGTACCTGCTTTAAAAGATAAATTAGGAATAAATTTTATTTTATTAGAGTAAAAACAAACATTTTGTAGTAAGTGGTCTTTCTGGCTGAATTTCAGTGAGAGTTGAATTGAGGTGTTTTGTAGTTAAATTTTATTCCCTTTAAGTTGTAGTAGATGAGAAGGAAAATTAATTTTTCTACTTACCTGAACTGGAAATCGTTTTAGAGGAGGATAAAAGTAGGCATGCTTGTAAAGAGAATATTGTGGCCTGTACTTATAGACCTGCATAAACAAAATAAATGGTATATCCATGTTTAATGTGCAATAAATCCAGAGTAAGTACAGTCAGGCCAAGGAAATGTACTAAAATTAATTACCCCATTTTCTTCAGAATCCTCTAATTTGGCTCTTCGATGCAAATTTTTCATCTGTTTGAAAGAACATTTAGTTATCATATATTCTCTCTCTTAAAGAAAAAGAAAATGGAAAGAACTACAGGTTTTTAATAAAGAACTTACTGAGAGAGCACAGGCCATTCCCAAAATGCTGAGCAAAATGAAAGCAGTCTTCATTTTGGTGATTGTTTCTGGAATTAAAGAAGTGGTAAAGTTAAGAAATATTAAAACTGAGTGTAATTTTCTTGCTCATATTAGATTAAGTATTTAATTTGTTTATATCTCTATTCAATTATAGTTTTGACTAATTAAGCCCAAATTTCTACTTTTGCTTTAAAATTCTTCTATTTAAGTGCTAGAAGACTGACTTTACCCATTTGTTTGATAATCTGGAGCTCCATATTTGGCTTTAACCTATCTGCTGTGACCTGTCATTGGAAGCCCATTTCATTACTGCAAGGAGCTTGCATGCTTAGCATCCTTCACACTTGGGCAACGAGGCCTCCTAATATCATTGACATATGAATATTGGCTGAGTTGAATTGTTAGTGTAATTATGTGGCCTGTTTGCTTTGTTTGTAATTAAAAATTAAGCAAAATTGATTACATTTAACGATTGCTTTTACACCAATGACCCTACAAGCAATTTTCAGCTTCTACATAGATTTTGAACTAAAAATTCACTTGCAAAATGGAGACTAAGAGCCATTTCCCTATGAATATCTTGGAATACTTAGTGCTTTTTTGTGTGTGTGAAATGATCCATAATATGTGAAATACTCTTCTCCTAGCATGTGGCACTGAACGGCCATGTCTAAGGGTAATTCTGTAAGAGGAGTTCATCAGAGTTTCACCTGGGGTTATCAGGAGCAAATTTCCTCAAATTAGGTCATTCTCCAGCTCCACTGAAGTTTTCCATCACTGGTGTGGGAGACTTTCATGGAATGGATCAGGGGCTCTCAGTGTCAGGGCAATAGGCATGAAGGACACTTCAATTCTATAGGAGAATTGAAGATGCAACTCTCAGAGTGCAAATAGTTCCCGAACAGTCCTGGGGTTTGCAGCCATGCGAAGATCTCAGTTCCACATAGACTTCTCATAACTAAAAGGAGGGAGATTGAAATCCTATCCTATTTTAATTTTATTCTATTTGATAAAATTCCATTTTAATAGAGGTTAAACAAACTTAGCTGAAAACTTGACAGCCACCTACTTGCACTGACATACATGGTTAACTGAGAGTGCTTTCTCGTGCAGAGTGACAGCTTCGGTAACATTCTAGAAGCAGTGTGTAATGGTGGTGGCAATTTCCCCATACACACACTTGGAAAAGTAATATATTAAATGTATAAAACCCATGTCGTATACTGTACCCTGAAGGTTGATTCTGCATTTTGTCATCATTAGCCAAGATTTCCTGCATCCTTATTGAGTATCTGACACTAAAATAAGTATTACATAGAGTAAGACTTGAGGACTGGAGAAGCTGCCCTGGGTCCTAAGTCACACACTATGTGTGGCAGAGTGGGTCTTTTGATTTTGATGCCACACACTTCCTCACAGTCCTCTCTACTTTGGTAAAAGTTCTTGACGGCCACATGGGACAAAGCAGCTTTGCTCCTGAAGGGGGCCCATCTGTTTAAGAAGTTCCATTGCTATTGAGGTGCTCAGAATAATACTTTGAACTCTGCTGCCCATGGTCAAGCTCATCAACTCAGGAGGAAGATAATTGCTCTGCAACCTTATGAAAGGAGTTGGAATATGTGAAGTATTTATAATATCTTTTTCTTTTTGAGGAAGATTAACCCTGAGCTAACTACTGCCAGTCCTCCTCATTTTGCTGAGGAAGACTGGCCCTGAGCTAACATCCATGCCCATCTTCCTCTGTGTTATATGTGGGACGCCTACCACAGCATGGCTTGCCAAGTGGTGCCATGTCCATACCCAGGATCCCAACCGGCGAACCCTGGGCCGCCGAGAAGCAGAATGTGAGAACTTAACCACTGTGCCACTGTCCAGCCCCTATAATATCTTGAAGAGCTAAAAACTTAAATATATAGAACTGTAGAAAGAGTTCTGATTACATAAATTTCTCATAACAAACCATAAAAACAACTAGATGAAATCATAGCAGGGATAATATTAAAAGAACCAAGTGGTGCACGTAAGCAGCAATTGGCTGCCTGCATAAATGTCATTTTATTTACTTTGTGATTCACCAAAAGCAAAGACCTCTATAGTGACCACTGCTAACCCAGACAACAAGTCAAACATTCTTAAAGGATAGCCTTGAGAATCTAATTGCAAGTTTTTCGGGGAAGAGTCTGATAAACTGCCAACATTATTTCTCTACTTCTACATATTTTCCTCTGTACTGATTTTAAAGCTATAGGATATGAACACTTTGAAACCGAATGTACAATGTACTGAAAAGATATTGTGTATAACTGAACTACAGATTAAGCATAATTTATGGAGAAGTCTGCTTACATCAAGGCAGATTTGCAAATGCAAAACAGTATTTCAATAGGTTATTTTGAATGCACCAGGATGAGGAAACAAATAGTTATCTATGAGGTGCAGAGACGGAAAATAGGAAGCATAATTTCCTAGTTTATGTGCAGAATATTAAGAACTTATTTACATGCATAGGTTAAGAAATAGCCTTTTAGAAAGAATCTAAAATCTGAGATACTAGTTTAATGGTAAACAAGTATTAAATTTCAGAGCCATTCTATACAAGGCAATGATATCAACATTTAAATAAAAAATTCAAAGCCATGTTCAGAGATGTAAGACGTGGAGCATTTTTTTCAGGTAATGAAGCTGTCGTATTAGATCTTACCCGTGTGCAGTCCCGGAGGGAGGAGGCAGGCTCACAGGAGTGAGGGACACAGATTGACTATTTCCTCTGCTCGCTCACTCACTCATTCACTTGCTCTTGCTGCCTATAAACTCTTCTTTGCCTTCCAACAGCCAATCACTGTCATGGCCAAGGTGATGTCAGACCGTGGATTCTCACCAGGAAAACCTCAAGCTTCAACACTTTTTCAAGACACAGGCTCAGTTGAATAAACATGAAATGTGGTTCTAGTGCCAAGAGGTTTGCATTGTGGAACTTAATTGAAGGGTGAGATGTAGATGAATGGCTTGAGATCTGAATATATATAATAATATACCGAATCCGAATTAAAATAAACAGCAAAGATTTAACCACTTAAAAATTTCATAATTATCCAAGTTTTCACTATGTCATCAGACACAATCCTACATTATTAGTTTAGTAAAAAAATATAAAGAAACTAAATAATAAAAGAAGAAAGCTGATGAACAATTAATATTTGAATATCAATTATTTTATATTTTTTCCTGAAATATGTGTCAGTAGCTCATAAATTAAAATTGATATAATTAAATGTCAGGATTTATAAGGCATATTTGCTAAAACATATTGCTGAGTATCAAAGTTAGAAGTTTTGAGCATCATGCTACTGAGAGGTAGGTTTCACTTTTCAATTTGTGAAATAAACCTCTTTAGAGTATCTATTAAATGTTTCCTTCCGGTTGTGTAGGTGATGTCACCTCATTTTATTTTCTTGGGTCACTGTATACCTCTTTTCTGTTCATTTTCATATTTAGTTTTTTCTCTATGTTATAGAAAAAAATGATTAGAGCTGGCAAGGGTGATCTGTTGTTATTGAAATGATTCACGAAAACCAAATCCACAAGGAATTGATTGACAAACTAAAGTACTAATTTTTTAATTAGAAAAGGGAAATTTAGCTTAATAGCCAGCATTTCTCCTTGTCCAGTAATTTTATTCTTCCCCTAGGTGTAAAGTCTACCCGAGAAATCAAAAATTAATAAATATCATTTTTAAGCGTGTGTGCCAGTCACTCTGTTAGATGTTTTGGATAAATCATCTTTTATTTCAGAAAAGTTGTTTCGAAAATATAGGCTCATAAAAAGAGAAGCTGGAGAGGCTCTTTGGATTCAATTTAACCCCATCAATTTAGTTCAATTTACCAAACCTCGAAAGATTGAGGTTTCCAGTGAACCAGAACAACGGAGAGCCAAATATAAGAAAGATCTGGTCCCCCTCTTTAGTAATTTCACAGTTGTGTAAAGAGACAGACTTATGGCCCCAGGGCACAGCAATCAGATATCTACAAGGTTTAGAGGTGCTGTGGAAGTAGGGAGGTTTAATTCTAAATGACGAAAGAGCAGCGCAGCTGCGCCCTTACATCAGAATAGGAATCGGCTACAGTATCAATAGGGAAGAACTTATCTAGAAGGAGCAGGAAACCTTCCCTGGGAACGGGTTTATAGAATACAGAAATATATGAACAACGTGACAACACCATCTAGGATGTGTTGAGTCCTCTCATGCTAGTCCTTGACTTGTGCTGTTTCACTCATTCCTCACACACGGAAAATATGAGGTCATTCCCATTCTACAGGTGAGGTAAGTGAAGCACAGTGATGGAAGTATGACCTGGGTTGCAGAGCTAATAAACAGGGGAATCTAGGGGTCAAAGTCAAGTCTATCTAATTCCAGAGCCTGCTTTTTTTTTTTTTTTCTTAACTTTTTATTAAGATTATGATAGTTTACAACCTGGTGAAATTTCACTTGTACATTATTGTCAGTCATGTTGTAAGTGCACCACTTCACCCTTTGTGCCCTCCCTCCACCTCTCCTTTCCCCTGCTAGCCACCAATCACTTCTCTTTGTCCATATGTTTAACTTCCACCTATGAGTGGAGTCATACAGAGTTCATCTTTCTCCCTCTGGCTTATTTCACTTAACATAATACCCTCAAGGTCCATCCATGTTGTTGTGAATGGGACAATTTTATCCTTTTTTAAGGCTGAGTAGTATTCCATTTTATATATATACCACATCTTCTTTATCCAATCATCAGTTGATGGACACTTAGGTTGCTTCCATGTCTTGGCTATTGTAAATAATGCTGCAACGGACATAGGGGTGCATGGGACTTTTGGAATTGCTGATTTCAAGTTCTTTGGATAGATACCCAGTAGTGGGATGGCTGGTTCATAAGGTATTTCTATTTTTAACTTTTTGAGGAATCTCCATACTGTTTTCCATAGTGGCTGCACCAGTTTGCATTCCCACCAACAGTGTATGAGGGTTCCTTTTTCTCCACAACCTCTCCAACATTTGTCACTTTTTGTTTTGGATATTTGTGCCATTCTAACAGGTGTAAGGTGAAATCTCAGTGTAGTTTTGATTTGCATTTCCCTGATGATTAGTGATGATAAGCATCTTTTCATGTGTCTATTGGCCATCCATATATCTTCTTCGGAGAAATGTCTGTTCACGTCCCCTGCCCATTTTTTGATTGCTTGTTTGATTTTTCTTGTTGAGCTATGTGAGCTCTTTATATATTATGGAGATTAACCCTTTGTCAGATATATAACTTGTAAATATTTTTTCCCAATTAGTGGGATGTTTTTTTGTTTCAATCCTGTTTTCCCTTGCCTTGAAGAAGCTCTTTAGTCTGATTAAGTCCCATTTGTTTATTCTTTCTATTGTTTCCCTTGTCTGAGGAGTTATGGTGTCCGAAAAGATTCTTTTGAAATTGATGTCACAGAGTGCACTGCCTATATTCTTTTCTAGAAGACTTATTGTTTCAGGTTTAATCTTTAGGTCTTTGATCCATTTTGCATTTATTTTTGTGAATGGTGAAAAAGAATGGTCAATTTTCTAGAGCCTGCTTTTAATCACTATATATCCTTGCTGGCACATTCAGAAAATTTCAATGATTCAATAGATTGGAATATAGTGAGTAGAAGTAGTGACAGATGAGGGTGGTCAGATAGGCAAAGACTAGACGACGGAGTAGGCTGTAGGTTGTACTAAGGAGGAGGGACTCCATGATAGAAATGAGAGACTACCACAGGGTTAAAGCAGAAAAATAATATACTTAGGTTTGCACTTTGGAAAAATCTTTTATTGACAAGGCAGAGCTAGGTTGAAGAAGGCAATGTTATTACAGAGAATGGGAGCTTCAACAAGCTATTTTAGTGGTACAGCACTGAAAGGTCTGAACTAAAGCAGTAGCAGTGGGGATGGGAAGGATGGAACAAATGAAAGATAAGTTAAGTGGGTAAAATTAATAGGACTTAGTAAAAGAGAAGTGCAGAAGCCTAGGATGACTTCTGGATTTATGGCTTTGGTTAATTTTGTGAGTGGTGGGACCATATCTCATGAGATATCTAGCAGAGTAACTGGTATATTATAATCACTCGGCAAGTTGTTAACAGTATATGATATAATGAAGGGAGTAGAGAACTGAGAACCAAAAACTGGGGTTTTGTTCTTGTTTCTACCATTATATGAACCACTTAACCACACTGAGGGTTCAATTTAATCCATCTTTGAAAAATAAGGAGGTTTTCAAAACAAAAAAGAACCAGCATTGTGTGCCTCGATCACCTGTGAAGTATTCTTGCCAAACAATCTAACTTGAATCTGATGAAGCCTCTATATTTACCAGGTTAGAGGAAATACAGGGTACAGAAGAATATGTAAAATGACACCATTGAGATGCATTTATTACCACACAAAAATGGGGTTCCCCTACTTGATGTGCTTAAAAAAGTCAATTAATTATTGCATCAGCTTGTGGGAGAGAAATCAGCTTTATTCTGCAAGATTGTTCTGCAGGGAGACAGGGGGCATGTGCCCTCAGATCTGTCTCCCAGATTCAGGATTTGGGGTGAAATTTAAGAGGTTAGTGAGAACAGGCTGCATGTGGAAGTGCTGGCAGGACTGGTTTTGATTTGTGGGCTTCAAGCATTTATGATGAGGCTCTAAACATTTATGATAAGGTTCTAAACATTTATGAAGAGGTTCTAAACCTTTATGGTAAGGTAGAGAAGGAATTTTCACACTGAATCTTTCTGAACGATGAACTCCTCACTTCTAATAAGAGTCTGATTTTTAAGTGCTGGTCATGTCCCGGTCCTTTGGTTTTACGGGGAGGAGAATCTTTTGTTCTGAGGTCATTCTAAGTCAAGACTTTTTCTTCCGTGCATGCTCTGGCTACACGACTTTGCAAATTTTCTGAAAGAAAATTCTTAATCTCTTTGTTAATAAGAGTTGGGATCTGTTTGAACTGGCTCTAAATGGGCCTGTGGTTACACATTCAGCAAAATCCAGAATGCAGGAATCTTATTAAGACATAGTACCTAGCTTCTATTTTATTAGCAGGAAAAATAAAAAAGAAAGAAAGGGAAACTATAGATTAAAAAGACTTCAGAGATGTATCTAAAGAAATCCTGAAACAATTGGAGAAATGTTCAATGCTGACTGGATATTTTATGGTATTAAGAAATTGTTATTAATTTTTTAGGTGTGATGATATTATTATTATTATGTTCTAAAAAAGAATTCTTATCTTTTAGGGATTCATACTAAAATATTTATGGATGAAACGTTATTTGGGGATGGGATTAAGATAAAACAAGTTTGGCCGTAAACTGAAAATTGTTGATTTGGTGATAGATCAATGGCAATTCGTGATACTATTCTCTTCACTTTTGCATATATATTTGAAATAGTCTATAAACAGTTTTTTTAATGGAAATGATTGAACTAAGTGATCTCTAAGATTTTTAAAATTTTGACTATTCCATAATCTCTCATTTTCAATGTTATCTAAGCCTAATATATCCTTTCCAATAGCCCTCTGGTTAATCCAGTCAAGCTCTACCTATACACTGACTAGATTTATTCATGTATGTTCATTGGAATATTCTTGCTAAGGAGTAGTGCTGGAGGAAAAAAATCACAAACCCTTACAAATTCTGCTTTTTCTATAATCAGGGCTATCCCAATAACATTATTTGATGCAATCTTATTATTATAATACTCTTCTTCATTTAAGTATTTGTTATAAATGGATTCTCTTAGTATATG